TCTATATTAGGATGCTTCTCTTGTGGTGGAGAAACTTTAATACACCATGGGGTTTGTCTCTCTGCTAGGATGGGAGAAATGGAATGTAAAGCAAACACTTTAAAGCAGGGAAGGCTTTATGCCCATGTCATGTGCCACAGCTTCCTTCAGCAAAAAAAACCATGGATCAGGTGGGGCAGCATGGAAGAAAACAGAGGAGCAGAAGCACAAGGCCTTTGACTGGACTGCACTGTCAGCTCCTTCAGAGGTTTCTCTGCTGACTGGCAGCCTGGCAGGCTCCTCAGGTTTCCTACAAGCACTGACCTTGGCATGCAGCTGCACAAGGGAGGCTCAAGGAGAAAGACAGTGTTGTGGAGAGAGAAATCAGGGTCTCACCTGTCCTTGTCAAGGCCAAAGGGTCACTGCAGCAGCCAAACAAATGGAGAAATGACATCATTCTGCAGGCAAACACTGGGTCTCTCTGGTAAAAATGTGCCAATGTCCAAGGTTGCAGAGGGTGATGTTGCTGAGGGTATGACGCTTGTCCAGCAGTCCTTGTGCTATACTTCCCCCCAGGAGTACTGGCCTGCAGAATGGGGAGGAAGAAATTAAAGCAAATAATCAAACCTATAGGCCTAGAGTTGGTGAATGATTGTAGTGTGGATTCATATAAACTGCAATGCTGATACATCATTTATACAGCATCAGTATTTTTCACTAAAAAATTCTGCTAAGCAACTGATGCCTATATAACTTAGATCAAAGTTACAAGGTGCTTATTTATCTTGAGTTATAAGATACTCATATAACCTGATGTATCTATATAACCTGCTATCAATATAACCTAAATCATAACTTTCTATACATCTATATCACCTGAAACCAATATAACATGAATCACAGCTTTTCATACCTATATAACCTGAGTCATAACTTTTATATCTATATAACCGGATATAAATAATGTTTTATACCATGTAATGGCTAGTATATGGTTATCTAGTTGCTTAATACTGAATGGACAAAAAAAAAAAAGGAAAAAAGCTCACCCCATGGATAGTTTCAGAGACAGATAAGTATAGTACTAATGAAAAATTGGCAAGTGCAAAGTCAATTAGCCGCAAAACAAAGAATTTAGGCCAGTTAAAACCAGACAGACCAAGGAACAGCATAATTGTGCATGTTCCAAAGACAAAGCTGAAATGACCCCGAAAGTGGGGAGGTGCAAGCGCAGTGCAAAACAACTATTTAGAACCCTCAGATCACGCTGTGTCAATTAGTTCTGGCATGTATACGATGATGTTTTAGTGACACAGTAACACTAAGCAACAGTTACTGTATAAATATACCACAGTACTTGACACAGGTGGGTGAGTTAGGAGGAGAAATCCCCCTCACCTCCAGTATTGCAATAAACAAATACCTGCTCTATAGACACATGTGCTTTTATTTCCAGCTTCTCTTTCAGGCATCACAACAGAGAAGTTTGCATGTCATTGCAATATGGGTGGTTATGTGGAATTTTGGGGAAATTGTCTTGCAGCTGTGCACCTCAATGTGGACCTTTGATCTGACAACTATGATTTTCACAAGCACATTTTGTTACAGGACATCAGAACTTGCTCCTTCATTTAGCCTGATACTGTAGCATCATATTGCTTTTCCATATACCATCTGGAAAGTATGTTTCCATGCTAGATTTTCCGGTGAGAAAAAGCAGTGTAACAAGTAGGAATTCACCGAAATGGCACCAGCTCTTGATAGAGCTCAAGAAGCATTTGGACGATACCCTCAGGCACATGGTGTGACTTTTGGGAATGGTGCTGTGCCGGCCAGGAGTGGGACTCAATGGTCCTGATGAGTCCCTTACAATTCAGCATATTCTTTTGTGGTACTGCAAATTTTCAACACCCGGGCATCACTTACAGCTTGTTGTCAGCTTGATTGAATCTCCCTGCTTGTTGATTAGGCCTGAAAGCGCACAAAGAACAAACAGCAAAGAACGCTTTTTCCTAAAGAAATTTCCACACATTCCGTTTCTCAGCGAGGGGGCTGGCTTGAGGGGACAGACTACATTTCCCATGAGGCTGTGCGGGGCGCGGCAGAAATGCGTCACTCGCTGTGGCAGCGGAAGGCGCCCG